GGCAAACTGTTCCTCCCTGTTCTGTTTCCGATTGGAAATCTCTCCCTCACCCCTATCTTCCCCAGAACTGTCATCTTGATCCAAACCGGGCCGCTGTGGCTGCTATTTTTAGGGATCCATTCCTGGAATTCCAATGTCATACATAGTTTGGGCCTAACTATTTCCTTCCTTTTCCGTCTCCTTCACCATTTGAACACAAATAAACTTCTGAAGCTGCCTTTGCTCAGCTCCCTGCTCCCTGCACGGCTGTTGCCTTTCGGGTTCTCAGCCAAGAAAAGATCTCTCCCAACTGAGCCATTCCTGGAGATCAGGGTTCAGTATTCCTTTCCTGTAATACACCCTCCCTCTACATGATCCTCACAAGTGATGAAAGAAAGAAAATTGCTTGTCCCTCCCCCGGCCCCTACAAAGGCTATTAGTGGACAGTCTCTTGGTAGTAAGGGTGCCGGCGTGGAGCCAAGAAGGGGAAGACATGACACAGGAAAGACAGGAAATGGAGATATCCACCAGCGTGGCTTCTTTACACATGATGAGGTGCACAGGCTGGGGCTGGATACCCACCCTGTGTCTCATGTGTCACCATCACAGGTGAGTCGTGGGTTCGCCACCATTCCTGTGCATGCAGGGAGGGATTCGGGGCTTGTTATTTCATCTTTGCTTTTAGCTGGGGATGCTTTAACTATTATTGTAAGCTGCCTTGAACCAAAAGGAAAGGCAGGCTATATAAATTTAATGGTAGTAGAATCGTAGAATCAGAGAGTTGGAAAGGAGTTCCAGGGTCATCTAGTCCAACCCCCTGCACAAGGCAGGAAATTCACAAATACCTCCCCCTCCACACCCGCAGTGATCGCTGTTCCACGCCCCAGAAGATGACAAAAAACCCCAAAACCTCCAGGATTGCTTCCTGACTTCAAAGTGGCAACCAGCATTTCCGTGGGGGTGTAAGAAAGGGCCACAAGAACTAAGCACTGAGGCAACCCGTCCTCCCCTCCCTCTCATGATCTGCCTCAGTTCACAGAATCAGCATAGCTGACAAATGGCCATCTAGCCTCTGTTTGAAAACCTCCAAAGAAGGAAAGCCCACCACCTCCCGAGGAAGCCTGCTCCACTGAGGAATCGCTCTATCGGGAAGTTCTTCGTAATGTTTAGCCGAAAACTCTTCTGATTTAATTTCAACCCATTGATTCTGGTCTGACCTTCTGGGGCAACAGAAAACAACTCCACACCACCCGCTAGATGACATCTATGAAGATGGTGATCATATCATCTCTTAGTCATCTCCTCTCTAGGCTAAACATACCCAGCTCCTTCAACCTTTTCTCATAGGACTTGGTCTCCAGACCCCAGTAATCATAGTAATAATAATTTAGAGCCTTCCCCCATGTCAAGCAGTCCTGAGGCGCAGGGATGGCACTGTTTGAGGGAAACCTGTGTGTTCCCCAGGGTACATGTAGGTGACCCCAACAGGCTCAGTAGAGCCCCTCTAGATGTTTCAAGCTGGGGAAATTGTGCAGGGAGAAGGCCATACGGAGCAGGGTCCTGACCCTAAGTGGTCACCACACATGCAGGAGCCAAGGAGAACCCCCACATGAGTGGGTAATGTCTGACACCAGGCAGGGATCCAGCCTCAACCCCCTGTGTAGTCTGTCATGTGTGAAGAAACAAGGCCAGCCTTGCCATGGTGTTTAAGTGATGACCAGTGCTCCCTCTAAGCTGAGTTAGTGTGAGCTAGCTCACAGTCTTTTAGCTTCCAGCTCACACATTTTTACCCTAGCTCAGGAAGGATGGCTCCAGAGCAAACTAATTTATGCAGTAGTCAAATCGCTCGCTCACAACTTTAATGCCAGTAGCTCACAAAGTAGATGTAATGTATTCAATAAGCTGCCACTGAATGCATAATGTGTTATGAAAACATCTAATTGAAATGCTATGTTAAGCTTCGTCCTGGGCTAGGATCCAAATACATCCAATCACATTGCTAGCCCAGGAAGCACCTAACCAATCACTTATCAGCAAGCTCCCTGAGCGGGAACGTCCGTGATTGCTCCTTATGCATACAACCTTATTGGTTGGTAATTGTACAGTAGGCGTGGCTACATTAGCCAGGAGAGTTTAAAAGCAGGACAGCTGCAATGTAAAAGCTGTTCTGGCTATCAGAGGTTGATCTGTGTTGGAGTTGTGTTTGAGTTGCTGAATAAAGCTTATCTTTTGCTGAATTACTCTCTGACTACTTGTTAAGCAAGCGACTTAATAGTAGAATTTCTGCTCACAAGACTCCACAGCTTAGAAGGAGCATTGGTGATGATGTGTGTCCCTGGCAGAAAGTCAAGCTGCAGGGGTGAAAAGAAGTGAAACTAGAAGGATAACGCCCCCACCACCATCCTCCGGCTTTCAAGTGGGAAGTGAAAGTGCAACTTTCTGTCTGGGCCTCTGTGGAGCTGCCACTTTGGGCATGAGGAGGGGAAGGGGTTTTCCAGTGGTACTTCCCCAGTGGGACTCTGCATGTGCTGCACACCACTTGGGGCTTTGTCCTCACTCTCTTCCTGCAGGCTGAGTCAGCAAACGTGTGTGTGTGTGTGTCTGTACCCCACTTTCGTGTTTCAGGGACCAGTAGGAGTTGTTAGTGGCAGAAAACTTCTACCTGCTTACAGTGGATATCTTTAAATAACTGCCTTAAATTACTCCTCAGTGCCTTGAAACCATCTGCTATGCTCAGGGTCAGGGCGGCTAAAGGAGGATTTCTTGTACTTACGACAGAGAGATGACAAAATCCTCCCTCACCCTGGCCATGTTGAATTGGCACTGGGCAGGCCAAGCACCACTGGTGGGAACACCAGACTTTGTGCGTTCCTGTGCTAGAATCCTAGAATCACACAGAGTTGAAAGAGACCATAGAGGCCATCTAGTCCAACCCGCTGGTCAATGCAGGATCAGCCTAGAGCATACCTGAGAAGGGTTTCCCCAGCTGCACAGAAAGATGCTCTGTTCTTGGGGAATCTTGTGATAAATTTAAACAAAAGTTTTTCAACAATAAAAAGCTTAGGTGCGGGAATTAATGCAGGGGTGCCACTTTCTGGAAAGTCAGGGAAATGAAAATTGGTCAGGGAAAGTCAGGGAAATTGGTCTGAAGTCAGGGAAATTGTGATTAAAATATATTCAAGCCGTGGATTTTTGACCTGCTGCTGCAAGAGCAGGATCTGTTCTTGTGGCAACTGGAATAGAGAAGTAGCAGAATACAAGTAGAACTTAATGATGCCCTTTCCCAACCATTTTAGATCGAGCGTTTATATAATTTTAGTGTACCTTTAAAAACAATAACAAAAATGTTACGTTATTTGTTAGCATTCAGAGTTTACTTGAATTGAAATTTGTAACTTGGTGTAATTGTTGGTGCAGTTGCAAAACATGTTGCTGCAGTTAATGTTGATAGAAACTGATATTAAATCTCTTTGACAAATATTTTTGCAGTTGAGACTTGTGTAGTTGTAGAGTGGAACCTTACCTTGCATTAATACAATATAACCAGTGTCCCTCTAAGCTGAGTTAGTGTGAGCTAGCTCACAGTTTTTTAGCCTCCAGAACAAACTAATGCCCTGGAAGCCGCTGGGTGACTCTCAAGCCAGTCACACACTTTCCGCCTAGCCCTACCTCACTGGGTCGTTGAGTGGATAGAATGGAGGAGAGGAGGACGATACGAGCTGCTCTAGATGGTCATGGGGGAGAAAAGAGGGGTATCACTGAAAGCAAGAACTCCATCATATTTACCTATATAGTACAACACTTTTGTCATAACTTTAATAAGAGTACGAGAAACCAAAGCGTTTAGGGTTAGGTTCTTGTTAGCAGGAGCTAGGAAATACAATTATTAAAATGTAAAACCCTGGAGGGCGAGAAATTATTCTGGCGCCTCAATTTCTGGGCTGGTGCCTAGAGCCCAGATAAAACTTGCCCTACACATTTTAGAGGCAGGGGGAAGAAGTCAGGTCTCCCCACCACCAGGCTCTGTGGGTCCCACTCAGGCCTCCCTTACTGAAAGGGAGTAGAGTCTGCCAAGGCAGCTGGGCACAGGGAAGCAGGCGAGAAGGGCTCTGAGGCAACGGCAGCCCAGCCCTCTGGCCCCACACCTGCAGCCTCCACACATCCAGGCAGGTTGCGCACAAACACTTCCTTGTGAGTGCCACAGCCAGGTCCCATCTATTTGCACAGTCTTTGGGGTGTGGTGCAATGCTCCCTCTAAGCTGTGGAGTCCGGTGAGCAGAAATTCTACCTTGTGAACTACTGGCCTTAAAGCTGTGAGCGAGGGAATTGGCTGCTGCATAAACCAGTTTGCCCCGGAGCCGTCCTTCCTGAGCTGAGACAAAAACGGGTGAGCCGGAGGCTAAAAAGCTGTGAGTTGGCTCGCACCAACTCAGCTTAGAGGGAACCTGGGCTTCTTCAGGTAGAACCAAAGGCCGGCCGCTGCGCTTCAAGCCCTTTCAAAGAGCTGCCGTGATTGGAGAAGCACATGGCTCCTCTGAAGGAACCCTTCCCCGGCAGAGACAGCGGGCATTCCAGCCTCAGCACCAGGGCCGGATTTAGACTTGCTGAGACCCTAAGCTATACAAAACCCAGAGGCCCCCTCCTTTTTAAAATTACATCAGCTGGTCTCAGAAAAAATTAAAATATATACGCCTTTTTAATATTTGAAATCATTTTTATATTGTTTTTTTTATTCGAGGCCCCAGCAGATTGCGAGGCCCTAAGCTGTAGCTTATTTAGTTTATGCGTAAATCCGGCACTGCTCAGCACCCAGGCGGCCTCCTGGCCAGGGGTCAGGTCAGCTGCCTTCCCCAAACCTCCGAACACCAGAGCGGGCTCTGCAAAAGGCTCTGAGCACGTGTCCCTCAGACCAGCCGGTGTGAATGGTGTCCCCCGCCGGCTGCCCCCTTCCGAGGCGGCTTGGGGTCATTTGGGGACCGGCAGAAGCCAGCTGCCAATCACCCAGCCCCCTCCCCTCTTACCTGGCAGGCCTGTGCAATCTCCTTGGAACTGCACCACAGGTGAGGAGGGGCTCTGCATGCCGAGTGAGCCTCCCCCGGAGTTGCCCAGAGGGCGCAGGCAGCAGCGAGCAGGAGCCAAGGGCCCATGGCACGGCACGGCACGGCACGGACTGGTGGGGCAGGAGCCTGCCGAGGAGAACTTGAAGCCCCGCCAGAGCCCGCCCCCTTCCTGTTCAAAGGCAGCGGCCGCAACCTGTTTTTCCCCTTCGACGGGTGACTCAACCTTTGCCCTCCCACTAGGGAGGTATCAAGGACGGTCTGCCTGACATGGGACACCCTGCCTGTCGCCGCGGTGGAGCGTTACCCGGGAAAGCGTGTTTGCCCCAGCCAAGGAGCAATCTTTGGCCAAGAAGCAGAAGCCGGCAATGGCAAGCGGGGACAAGGAACTGCTCTCACGGTGCAGAAGTGGGTGAAACCACGCTTGCCGCAGGGCAGCCACTGTGGGAAAATCCCCACCCTTCGCCAATGAAAATCCCGCCCAAGCAGGAAAGTACCACAGACCGATGCTCCCTCTAAGCTGTGGAGTCCCGTGAGCAAAAATTCTGCTTTCTGAGCGAATGGCATTGACGTTGTGAGCAAGCGATTTGGCTACTGCATACATCAGTTTGCTCTGGAGCCATCCTTCCAGAGCTAAGACAAGAATGTGTGAGCTGGAGGCTAAAAAACTGTGAGCTAGCTCACACGAACTCAGCTTAGAGGGAACACTGCCACAGACCGGTGTTCCCTCTAAGCTGAGTTAGTGTGAGCTAGCTCACAGGTTTTTAGCCTCCGGCTCGCAGATTTTTGTCTTAGCTCAGGAAGGACGGCTCCAGAGCAAACTAATTTATGCAGTAGTCAAATCGTCTGCTCATAACTTTAATGCCAGTAGCCCACAAAGTAGCATTTTTGCTCACAAGGCTCTGCAGCTTAGAGGGAACATTGGTCACAGACTGCGGGACTTTGAAGCGGCCAGCCATTTCCATCCCATGGGAAGGAAAGATAAATCCCATCTGGCTTTTTTTGCCTTCCCAGTTGCAACGCCTGCTGCTCTTATGACGAGAGAGACCCACACGCTGGTCTCACTGGAAACCCTGCTCAAGATGCCGGTGGAATGTGGAGCTGCCACAATACTGAAAGGCCTCCCAAATGTTGAGCTGCTGGGTGCTTGGGACTGCCTTTCCCTCCCCTCCCCCCACCAGGCCTGTAGCCAGTATTTTGTAATTCAGGGGGCCTTTAAATAAGTCAGGGGGCGCTGACATCACAAAATAAAAAAATTAAAAATTCACATTTGCAGTGTTCGCACTCTGCCTACGTGGGGAAGCAAGCCACGCTTGGGGAAGGGCAGTGGTGGGGAGTCCTACAGGTTGCCCAGAAAGTTGGGAGTCCTTTGGGTGGCCCAGAGAGCCGGGGGGGGGCTTAGCAGGAAGTCAGGGGACCAGGCCCCAAAACGCCCCCACTGTAGCTACTGGCCTGCCTTCCACAGCCTTAAAACTATCAGCATTTTACTGAGGATTTTAAGATCATGCCAGGATCCAGTGTAGTCAATTAACTGGTCAAAACAGGTAATCTCATTGCCCGTGACAGCCTTCGGAGTAAAAACACACCCTCAAACGCAGAACAAAACCTGCCACCAAACGAAATGCTAACCCCCCTTCCCCACTACTAAGAGCATTGGCCTCTGTGAGCCACACAGCCAGCACTTGGGCAGGTGGATGCAGCGGTGCCACACCCATTAAAAGCAAGTCCAAGACACCACCACGAGCCTCCTCCTCAACAGGTCACACCTCAGTCTTCAGGTGCTGGATCCAGGAGGAAGAAGAGATTGGATTTATATCCTGCCCTTCGCTCGGAGTCTCAGAGCAGCTTACAAACTCCTTCCCCTTCCCCACATCAGACACCCTGTGAGGTAGGTGGGGCTGAGAGAGCCCTGAGAGAACTGTACTTGAGAGAACTGCTCTGACAGAACTATGGCTTGCCCAAGGTCATCCAGCCAGGTGCAAGTGGAGGAGTGGGGAGTCAAACCCGGTTCTCCCAGATTAGAGTCTGCACACTTAACCACTATACCAAACTGGCTCCCCACCAGAAGTCCCTTGGCCTGGGCCAGGGGTCTCTTGTTCCCTCCCACGCCTACCCCCTCCCATTATTGAGATTGTCCTCTGTACCCACCGTGATTTGCGGGCAATCCTGTGTGGCAAGATGGTGCAACTGCCCCCTGGGACGCCATCTTGCTCCTCATTGAGGGCACCCTGGCACAGGGTCAAAACTCTGCCCTTTAAGAAAGTCAGGTGGGGGAAGGGCGCCCCTGGAAAAATGGTCATTTTGGCTGCTTCTCAGTTCATTTGCCTGTCTTGTGTTGTTCTTTCTTTGGGGGGGGGGAGCGGAAGGTAGTTCTTAGCTGCCTTGGGGACTGTTTCAGTTGCAAGACAGGCTATTTACATATTCTTAACACATTTAGCCAGTGTGAACAGCTGTGTGGAACCCAGGCAGAGTTCACTGTTGATCTCGACGAATTAAGCTCAAGAGCAGCCCCTGGGTAAGGGGCTGCCCACACCCGCCCAGAAGGGTCAGGGGCAATGTTCCCTCTAAGCTGTGGAGTCATGTGAGGAGAAATTCTACTTTGTGAGCTACTGGCATTAAAGTTGTGAGCGAGCGATTTGGCTCCTGCATAAATTAAGTCTGCTCTGGAGCCCTCCTTCCTGAGCGAAGACAAAAATGTGTGAGCCGGAGGCTAAAGAACTGTGAGCTGGCTCACACTAACTCAGCTTAGAGGGAACACTGGTCAGGGGTCCCCGGGTGAAGGGCTTCCTGCTCCACAAAGGAAGCATAAATTACACATTTATAGCAATAACCATGAAATACTGTAGACATTGCCAAAAATAAGTATGAATGCTATGAAGGGGCACCACTACAAACGCTGACGATCCATCGATGCAGAGCGATCAGAATAGTCCAGTAGCCTTCAGAGTAATGCCAAAAACATGCAACAAAGAAAGTAGCAGAACATGATATCTTCAAATTCCAAGGTGCTCAGCCGGTATCCCTGTAACTTCTGGCCAGTTACCAAGCTGCTTGGCTGGTTTCCCAGCTACTTCCATGTGTCGCCGGCTGGTGTGACCGCATTTCGCAAACAAGAGTCCAGGGCTCTTTTTGTAGAAAAAGTCCAGCAGGAACTTATTAGCATAATAGACCACACCCAGCAGCAGAAACTCATTAGCATATTAGGCCACACACCCTGACTGCACCGCTCATTAGCGTATTAGGCCACACACCCCATGTTACCAGAAGTGTGGTCATCCAGCCACACCCACCTTTTGCTTCTTATTCTGTTTACCTTGTTTGTTGTCAAAACCCAGGGCCTTTTTTTGTTGCAGGAACTCCTTTGTATGTTAGGCCACACACCCCTAATGTAGCCAATCCTAATGAGTTTCTGCTGTTGGGTGTGGCCTATTATGCTAATGCCTTCCTGCTGGGTGTGGCCAACTTGGGAGCCAGCCGGAACTCCGTTCCTGTGCGTTCCTGCCCAAAAATAGCCCTGAACAAGACTTTATCAAAAGCACTCTGGAACAAGTGTCTCTTGGTTCTATTTCTAAACAATGAAAATCTAACGGGGAACTGTGTCTCCCATACCCACTGATCGAGGCAAAAGGCGGTGACTGTCTACTGTGTATTTCCCTTGTTTTTGGTTGCCACAAAGGGAGCAGGCAGCATCTCGTGGGCAAGACCACCATGGCCAGCACCCCTCCGAAGCCGATCCCATGAAGGCAGTACCCCAGGGCAAGGCCCACAACCCCTTCTTGCTCCAGATGCCACTCGGCTGAAGCTCCATCCCCCTCCAAAACGGAGACACATTCTGGAGACGGGGATCCTGCCAGCCGCCGTGCACAAGGAGCCTTCAAGAGGAAAGCAGCAGCGCTCATTGGAGGCTCGTGTGTGGACCCAGCCACTGTTGTCAACAAGAGGCCCAGCAGCAAAAGCCATACCTCGGTCGCCCCTTGACTCCAGAGGGAAGCTCTGCCTCCTTGATCCGACAGGGTGGGGGGTTGCTTGTTTGGAAAGAGTTCCATTTGTCTTCCACAGCAACCCCCCTCCCCCCCGCCATCCAAACAGGTCACCCCCCAGGCAGCAATTCAGCTGCTTTGCAATCCTAAAAGGTAGGTCATGTTGGTGTGATTCAAGCCCAGCAGGAACTCTGGCCCCCCTCCTCAGTCCTGTAATCCCGGAGCTGTTAAAGAGACCAAACCACCATGCTGTTCCAATGAGGCAAGATCTCCCACCAGCAGTGTCCCCTCTAAGCTGAGTCAGTGTGAGCTAGCTCACAGTTCCTTCGCCTCCGTTTCACGTTTTTGTCTCGGCTCAGGAAGGATGGCTCCAGAGCAAGCTAATTCATGCAGTAGCCAAATCGCTTGCTCGCGACTTTAATGCTAGTAGCTCACAAAGCAGAATTCTTGCTCACAAGACTCTACGGCTTAGAGGGAGCATCGCCCACCAGCCACCCTTACCGGGCCAGAGACATTCCGGGGCCACAGAAAGCCTCCCCAACCCCGATAATTCAAGCAAGCCTGGCAAAAACAGGCCCCTGCCAAGAGCACCTCAGGTCACCCGCTCTCCCCCTCAGTACGGTCGTTTTTCACTTCTCCTTTCCTCTGAAAAACCAGTCCGCCCCCGGCTTCCTCCTCCCAGAGAGAGTTCCTTAAAAGAAGGCCTGCTCTGCAAGCCCTCTGTGGGGTCTCTGCCTTCCTCTCTGTGGCCCCCACAAAGCCCTCCTACAGGAGCGCCTCCCCCACTCCGTGCACTCCAGACTCACCAAGCTCCATACAATGGCATTAACAGTTTATTATTCCCCCCCCCCTTTGTAGTACCATATAAAATGTCTTGCCTTAATCTTACAGTAACAAATTCTGACACGAATACCGGGTGTACAATGACTTAGTAAACTCCTGTCACCTTGTAAAACAGAAAGGAGCCCCAGAAAAGGTGGCCCAGAGCGGTGAAATTGCATATCTCGGGAACAGGGAGAGATAGGGAAAGGAGACCCCGGCCATCGCAAGGCCCCTCCACACCCACAGCTTCGGGGAGGGCGGCCCAGTCCTGCCATAAGACAAAATGGCGGGAGGGGGGCAGGGGAAAGAGCACTCTCTCTCTTGCTGCTGCTGCAACAGGAAGACCGGCACGCACCCTGTGCCTCAGGATCACCATGCTTAGTGTACAGGCACGCGCACGGAAAGGAAAAACTGGGGTGGAGGGCCAGGGGAGCCTCTTTAGGGATTCAAATGGCTTCAGACCAGCTCCCGGTACTTGGGAGCTGGCAGCGGAGCATGGCCAACGTCTCCGGAGGGTGAGGCAGCCCTTGAGAGGGAAGTCCTTTTGCCCACCCTTCCTCTTGGGCGGGGCAGTCCGAACGCTATGGCTTGTGGCAGGAACATGCAGTGTGTGCCGGTGGCCGGGAAGGGGGTCCTCCCGGCAGCAGCAGCGGCAGGAGAGCAGGATCCAGAGTCCAAATGGCAGCTAGCTACGCGAGGCAGGCCCAGTGGTTCTGGTGGGCACCCCCCCTGCTGGGAAAAAGAGCATTCAGGTTCCTGCCGGCCGTCCAAAAGACCCAGCCCCAGCCTGAGGGAATCCAGGCAAGGACAGCCACATACCGGGGGAGGGGCAGGGAGGAGAGCAGCGGGCACGAGCTGACCGCCTTCTCCATTGCCAACGAAGTCCCAGGTGGGCCACTTGCCCTGGAAGACCGACACTACCACCCGGGTCCATGCGGACCCTGCTAGTGCCACGGGGGCTCATCCCACCCACCCCCCACCAGCAGGGCCAGCTTGAGGTGTTTCTGCGCCCTAGGCAAGGCTGCCTTATGGCGCAGATGCCAACCTCCCGGTGGGGCCTGGAGACCTGGAGACCTCTGGAGCCAGCCACCCTTTTGCTGCTGCCACCACTGCCTCCTCCCCCCCCGCTGCCACCAAAGGGGGGGAGGAGGGGGGAGGCACAGCTTGGCGCCCCATCCAGGGCCTGGCGCTCTAGGCGAATGCCTAGTTTGCCTAGTGGGTGAGCCGGCCCTGCCCACCAGACACGGAGTTTGCCGGAAAGATGCAGGAGCAGGGGAGTGTCCCTCCTGCCCGATCCCATTGCGGGTTGGGGCCTCCTCCGACGCCCTCCGGAGGCCCAGTTGCAACACTGCTCCCTTCTCCCTCGGTGGTGCAGTTTTAAGAGCTCCCAAAAGGGCTGCGGAGGAGGAGGCGGTGGCGGCACCAGGGAGGCTGCAGAGCCGCCAGCCTGCACGTGAGACTGGAGGGGCAAGCTTGGACCAAAAACAGTTCACAGCTTTTCTGGCCTCAGGGTCAGATGAGCACCAACAACTGAGGGGCCAGGGCTTGGAGGCAAACTTGGGGGGCACAGCAGCCAACTGAGATCTGGGGACCCCCCCCCTCGGCGGAACTTCTCTGCTTTCTGGGCAGGTGTGTGTGGGGGGAGGGCCCGTAGCGCCAAAACGCCGAGGGGCGTGAACAGGGAAGAAGAACCTGGGGAGGAGAGGGCTCACCAACCTTTCTCCACACCGACACAAACATGCATGTGGGGGGCCGGCGGCAGTGGGGAGATGGGGGTCTCAAAGTGGAAACCTTTTGGGGGGGGCAGCTGGAAGGGGCTTTGCTCCCAGTGCCTTTGACCCCCCCCTCCCCCATCCAAGGTTAAGGCGTTGCAAAGGAGTCCTTTTCAGCGGGAAGGCCTGGCGGCATGAGAGACAGGGGTGGGGCGGAGGGGATCGAAAGGCGGTGGGGGAAGCCACGCGTGTCCCTTTATCTGGGGAGGGGTGGAGAGAGGATGGGGTGAGCCAGCGTGACGTTGAGGGAGTCGTTGTGCTGCACCAGCGAGGTGTGCTTGTAGTGCAAGACCAGCTCCTTGAGGGAGGCGTAGAGGTTGTAGGGTTCGGCGAAGCCGTAGCCGGTCACTGTCTTGTAGATCACGCAGTGCTTGGTGTCGCCATCCACCCTGTGAGGAAGAGGAGGGAGGGACGAAGAAAGGTCACAGAGGGTCGCCCGCTGGGGGGCCGGGGAGGAGGATCGAGGGAAGAGAAGGCACAGATCGCCTTCAGAGAGAGATGGGGGGCAGGGTGAGGTGTGTGTGGGGGGGAGATCCCATTCCTACCCCCCAATAACAACCCTGTGAGGCAGCTGAGGCAAAACCGGGGAGCCGAGCAGAGATTCCCGCCAGAGCCTCACCGGCTCAGCACTCTGATGGCCACACTCCCTTGCCGGTCCTCTGGCTCACCCACCGAGAAGCAAAACAGCCCGAGGTCACAGACCCAGAGGGAGGAGCCGCCTCCGGGGGGGCAGCGAAGGCGGGTGTGTGTGTGGAGAAGGGACGGCGGAGGCCACTCACACGACCGAGCAGGCGTAACAGCCGCGCTGGCTGCTCTCCCGGATGAGGAAGGTCCCGTTCCGCTTGCCGGCCAGCATCTCTTCGGCCTGGGTGCGGTTGATCTTGCCCACGTACCACGTCCGCTCCTCGTGATGGGGCAGCTCCTCCTCGTCCTCCATCGTAAAGTACTGGCTGCAGACCAGGACGGAGGGGAGGGGGGGAGAGATGGCGAGCGGCACGTGAAGGGAGACAGTGGGAGAGGGCTGCAGCAGTCCCACAAAAGCCCCCAAGGACAGGCCCACGCTAGCCTCTTCCCCCACTGTGGGGACAAGGCACATATATATGGCTCCTGCTGCACCCCTAGGGCCTGGGCACAAAGAGACGGGCATGGCCAGACTTGCTTCAATGCCATCTCCTGAACCCATCAAGGCATAGGGATTCTCAGAGGCTGAGGGTGCTGGATTTGCACATGGGGGGGGGAGAGACTCACATCTGCAAAAACCCCTCCAAAAACACAATCCGCACACCCTTCTCCTGGAGGTCTGGCAGAAAGAGCTTCCCCCAGCCTCTGCGTCTCAGTGCCAGGACCCTTCTGCCCCTGTGGGCCAGGGCCTACCACCTGTCAAGGACTTGAAGGGAATGGAAAACAAATCAGCCAGTATCATAATGCCCCTGTATAAATCGATGGTGCGACCTCGTTTGGAGTACTGTGTACAGTTCTGGTCACCGCCCCTCAGAAAGGATATTGTAGCATTGGGAAAAGTGCAGAAAAGGGCAACTCGAATGATCAAAGGGTTGGAACACTTTCCCTATGAAGAAAGGCTAAAGCGCTTGGGGCTCTTTAGCTTGGAGAAACAACAGCTGAGGGGTGACAGGATCGAGGTTTATAAGATTATGCATGGGATAGAGCAGGTAGAGAAAGAGGTACTTTTCTCCCTTTGTCACAATATAAGAACTCGTGGGCACTCCATGAAATTGCTGAGCAGTCAGGTTAGAACGGATAAAAGGACGTACTTCTTCACCCAAGGAGTGATGAACACATGGAATTCACTGCCACAGGAGGTGGTGGTGGTGGCTACAAGCATGGACAGCTTCAAGAGGGAATTAGATATGCATATAGAGCAGAGGTCCATCAGTGGCTATTAGCCACAAGGTATAGATAGGAACTCTCAGTCTGGGGCAAGTGATGCTCTGTATTCTTGGTGCTTGGGGGGGGGGTCAACAGTGGGAGGGCTTCTAGTGTCCTCCTGGCCCCGC